TCATTGTGCCTAACTGACAAATAAGGAAACTTAGGATCCCGGGTTAATGAACTTGTCCAGGAACGCACAGTGAGTCAAGAGGAAAACCAGAATTCAAACCCAGGAATTCAGACTCCAGAGCCAAGCGCTGCCAGCAATGAGATCTCAAAAGCCACAAAATTGCTCTGAGCCTCAATTTCCACAACGGTAAAATGGGAATAAATATAGGCGTTCTGACATTGGGAGGTTGAGACTTGCTGCATTAAAGTTGTCTACTTGGGGCCGGCCCTGTGGCTTGGTGGTTAAGTGCGCGCGCTGCAATGCTGGCGGCCCGGGTTCGGATCCCGGGTGCGCATCGAGGCACCACTTCTCCGTCCATCCTGGGGCCGAGTCCCACATGCCGCAACTAGAAGGATGTGCAGCTATGACATGCAACTGTCTGCTGGGGCTTTGGGGGGAAAAAATAAAATAAATAAAATCTTTAAAAAAAAAAAAAGTTGTCTACTTGTTCTGTCTTTGTACATCTGTAGAATTATTCAAGAATAAGTATGTTGGAGGAGGTAATTGAGAGGACGTGACCGCCAGTTGACCCACAAGCTGGACCTAGGCAATCAGAGGCTCGCCCCATCCTTGGAATGTACGTGCTGCTCACTGTTCCCACAGTGGGAGCTGTTGCAAGGATGCAGCCTTTAGAGAGTAAGGTGTTGATGAGACCATCTGGACTGTATACTTGACTGAACCCAGTTAAGGCCTGTGATAAACTTTTAAGATTCTGGTGGGCAGTGCGGAGATCTACTCGTCTTGTGGCCACGCACGATAAGCCTCGTATGTAAGTTCCCTTGCTATTATTAAACCTGCCACCTACTAATCTGGAGTGGTTTGTCTCTTTCTTCGGTCTCTCCTTGCCCTCCATGTACCGGGGCCAGTTTGTGAAACGACAAAGTAAAAGCTTTTAAAATGTGTTCTCAAAAATATTTTCTTTAGTTCTAAATATTTTTAGATGCATGCTCAATACATTTTTGTTCTTATTCCTGAATTTATTTTTTTTTCCATTTTACTCCATTTTAGTACAGAAGATGGATCCAATTGTGTTCCTTCAAGAGGTACCAAAGTGTTGACTATACACATTGTTGTTATCATCAGACATCGGGGCAACACCTAAGAAGGAGGTGGCACATTTTTCAAGGAGTAAGGACACTTGGTGGTAGAGATTCTGGAAATATGGTGGCAGCAGTGGCTATATAGCTTTTCAATCTCGCCAAACACCCACACAAAGACAGACAGAGCAACTAGAGAGCAAAAGCAAAATGCATGGATAATATTTTCAACAAATCTAGGTTACAGGCTATCTCCTAAACCCCCAAAATTCAAGTAGATGAGTATGTAGGGGAGGAAGAGAATTCCTCTACCCTCTGCATCCTTCTGGCTGGGCTACTAATTAAATTGACATGAGACAGAATAACAGGAAAAAATCAAACAAAGCTTTATACCATGTATACATGGGAGAAACCCAGAAAAACTGAGCAACTCAGTCAGAATGGCTGAAGCTGCCACCTTAAAGAGCATCTTCAGCTAAAGACAAAGGAGGATATTGGGGGTAAGGGGGAGTCAGTTATGAGAGATTACCAGAAAAGCACAGTAAACAAGAGTAAGGTTATTATAAAGATTTGAGTCCTTGCCTTCGACACTGATAAGAGTTTCTAGAGATAAGGTCATCCCCCTCATCCTGGTACAGAGAGGGAGATATCTTTACAAACGGAGATTTCCCTTACAAATGTAAATATCTCTTACAAAGGGTAACCTCCACTCCGTTTTCAGAGCTTCTCACCCATCTGCAGTTTCTTAAAGGTAACCAGCCCAAAATAATCCTCATGCCAAAGAGACACATCTTGAGGTGGCCAATTCTGATCCCCTACAAGGACAAACCACCAACAGTCACATTACCTACATGGTACCAGTGTCTGTGCAGGAGGAAAAAGAAGTAATGGCACAGCATCTGGCTAACTTGATAATAGGAAAACCACAAACTAGCAAACTCATTGGAAAGAGCAGCTGAAACTGGTAGTGTTTTTGCCCCTTTCAATACCAGGCGAGTGCATGGGGCTCAGCTCGAGGCACTAAAGGTGCTGGGAGCATCATAGCCCAAGTGAACTCTCAGTACTGACAACTCAGTGCTCCCTTCTTGGACAGGAGCCCACAATTATGAGAAACTGCTAGAAGTAGAATCACAATTCAATAGGAAATGAACGAGAGAGACTAAGGAAATGAGAAGGTCTAGTCCTCACCGAAATAGCTCAGTTGGGAGAGCGTTAGACTGAAGATCTAAAACTGTGCTGTACACACATGTCCACACTTGTGGCTACTGAGCACTCGAAATGTGGCTAGTCAGAACTGAGATATGCTGTGAGTGTATATTACACACCAGCTTTTGAAGACTTAGTAGGAAAAAATATAAAATATCTCGTTAATAATTTTTATATTGATTATATGTTGAAATAATATGTTGGATAGATAGAATTAAATAACTTATTAATGTCATGTGTTTCTTTACACATTTTTAAATTTGGCTACTAGAAAATGGTAAATTCCATGTGTGGCTAGCATTATATTTCTACTGGAAGAACTCCATATTACTGAAGTTTGAGATGCCATTTAGACATTTCAGGTGAAAAAGTCAATTTAGGTAGCTGGATATACATGACTGGAGTACAGGAGAATGGATAGAAGTGGATACACAATGTTTTGATTCAGCAACTTAAAACAATATTTAAAGACATGAGACTAGACGGGATCTCCTAGGAAGTAAATGTGTATAGGAAGAAAAGGCCACAAACTGAGGCCTTGGGCGATTCAAAACTTAGAGGTGGGGAAAATGAGAAAGGTCTAGGAGAATGTGGGGTGAACACAAAGAAAGTAGTCTTTAAAGACTAAGGAAGAACATGTATCGAGGAAAAAGGAGTGATCAACTGTGTCAAATGCTGCCAGAAGGTCAAGCAAGGTGAAATCTAAGAATTATCCATTGGATTCTGCAGTATGAAGATCTGCTGTGTGATGGCATTTGGTACTTTCATAAGGAGGGAGTATTGGAACGACCAAAGGTCAATAGAAGGAAGAAGAGCTTGTGGTCAATAGGAGCTTTGTAGATCTTAGGATGGTGGGCTTGAGTTAAGGACATTGGATTAAGAGCCACTCCCAAGCAGGTCAAATGCCCAGGAGGCTCACTAAAACACTAGCATGCAGTAGGGTGGAGGCATCTCTGATTCAGCCCACTGAATGCTGGCTCACTGCAGGAAGGAACCAGACCTAGGACCTGAACTATTGCTTCTCCCAACATCTGTGATACGAGGAGGGCATTGTGTGGTCAGAGTCACCTCCAGGGACAAGATGTGGCTTCCTAGATATATATCCTTGGGTGTCTCTAACTCTCTGGGGCTGGGCTACAGAGCTAATTATGCATATAGGACAGTTGCTAACATTTGCACTATGTCTGGGGCAAAAGTACAAATGAAGGCCCTAGGCCCATATCCTTGATCTCCTCCCACAGCCAACTGTATCCTACACCAAGAGATGTTTCACACTTAACCCTGAGAACACCTCAGCCTACACCTCAAAGCTTTGTCTACCCTTCGCTTCTACAAACAGTGGCCGCATGGCCACCTTTTGGTGTATACCACAGGCCCAGACCTCGCTTCTTTAAGAAGGACCCTGAAAATAAGGCCTTACAGGACCTGGAAGCTGCCTTGGGAATGAGGGAAACTGAAACATTTTCTACAAAAGTTGCAGGGTGTTGGGACCTGGCGGGTACGTCCCATTGTCCTTGTGGACTTCTAGCTCTGTGGTCTGAATACAGCATGAAGAGGGCCTGAGCAGGAAACTCTCAAATGTGGGGTCCAGGAATAGGGCCCTTCTGGGCCAGGTCTATGCCAGTACTGGCCACATACTAGAAAAGCAAGGAGAAGAGAAACATAGGAAAGTAGGTAGAGGGAGTTCCTTTCACTGGTTCGGTTTATTTTTTTTTCACTCCATTCCTTTAATGTGGTCTCCTACCATGTTTCCACAACTTGACTTCTTGAAAAACAGCTGAGTTGAGTTTCATTACAGGTCAAGGTGGAAAATGTAGAACGTAGAAGACCATAACACCAGTTATTGGAAAAACTGGATGTATACCCTGTCCACAGCATGGTGTATGTCCATCCAGTTCTCTCCAAGTATGTCTACACACACACTGTACACACACACACACACACACACACTCACCCTTGCATACCTGCTCACAAACTTAGTCACAATTATTTTTTTAAAAGGGATTATCCGCTAACATTTTTTCACCGAATATCTGACCATTTTCACATCAATCATTCACCTCGAATCACCCTCCCAGACCTTCCCGTCCCCCCCACAGACCTCCGGAGCCCCTGTTCCCAACATATACATTTTTCCCTCCTTTAAAAACTGAGACCGTCCCCCTTAGGCTCCTGACTCCTGCTGTTCTCCCCCTTTCTGATCCTGAGTCTTCCTTCCAGCATTCCCTACTCCCATTCCCTACTCCCATCTGGGGAGGAAGTATCCCAACCCCCCCCCCCCCGCCCCGCCGGCACCACCACACACACACACTCACAGGGTCATGTACTGCTTCTTTCCTGACCCTGGATGTCTCCATCACTGTCTCTTTCTCCAGCAGCCTTGGGTTAAACCCCGCCCCCTTTTCTTGTCCAAGTTGCAAATCACCTATGCTAAGAGGGTATATTGCATATAAATGGCAATTTCCTGGACAGAACTCCATTTTAGACAGTGGGATTATATGATTGCCAGGATAGTTATTTTATTCCCCCTCCCTTCCAAAGAGTCAGTTAGCATGCTAACAATTTTCTTTAATCCTCTAAATAAGACATAGGATAACAGTTTGTTTGGACAAGAACAAAATGCTACATTTTTAAAACGAAATCGCCATTTTTATTTCATTCATTCAAAAATTTCGTCATATAAAGGCAACTTGCGAAAAGGAAATTTCAACTCAGGGGCAAAGGCAGGCCTTTTTGAGGGAGAAGGGGGCCTGGAATCAAGGGCCAACGGCAGGTAAGTGCTAGCTTATGGGGAAGAGAGGCTTCAAAACTGCCTCTCCAAACAGCTTTAAAACTGCTCCTGACATTGGTTGCGGGCTCACAGAACTCTTGGAAACCTCACAGGTAACTGCGGAGCAGGCAGCCCATTCAGGGCAGTGGGTGGACGTTGATTCCTTTCGTGGGTCTTATGAGGATGCTCATGGAGGGTCACAGCACAGGAGGTGTGGGGGGGCGAGGCGTGCTCCCTATTTCAGCCTGCTCTCCTGGAGAGACAGGGCTCAGGGCATCCAGCTGCGGCAGCAGGGCGCGCCTGAGGCTATCAGGGCTAGGGGTGGAGATGGAGGCCAGGCCACAAAACTTAGGGCAGGAGGACGAGGAGCTCTGGCCAGAAAAATTAGTGGGGGAGGAGGAGGGGCTCTGACCAGGAGACCCGGGGAAAGGGGGGGAGGAGGGGGGGGAGCAGGAGGAGGAAGAGGAAGAGGAGAAGCTCTCACCACACTGCGCACGTAAAGGAAAGAACCTACCAGGAGGTGAGGGTGAGGAGGCGCGCATTCGGACTGCACGCCAACGGGGCTGGGCAGCAAGGCTTGGGACCTCAGGATCAGGAGAGCTTGAGCTGCTCCGGTGGACAAGCCTTCGAAAGGCAAACCCAGGGGAAGGAGGAGGACTCTGGCCAACAGGCCCAGGCAGCGAGGGGCGGCTGCTAGGGGCTGATCTTCTCTGCGGGGCGCGGCGCCGAGGGACAAAGCCTGGAGTCGTGCTGCTGCTGCGGAGGGCAGGGCCTGGTCCGGATGCGCGGCTTTGGAGGGCAGGGCCTGGCCCGGATGCGCGGCTGCGGAGGGCAGGGCCTGACTCAGAAGCAGGGCGGCGGACGGCAGGGCCTGGCGTGGAAGCACTGCAACGGCGGAGAGCAGGGCCTGGCGCGGACGCAGGGCGGCGGACAGCGGGGCCAGGCGCGGACGCAGAGCGGCTGAGGGCAGGGCCTGGCTGGGATGCACGGCGACGGCGGACAGCAGGGCCTGGCGCGGGTGCACAGCGGCGGAGAGCAGGACGTGGCTCAGATGCACGGCTGCGGAGAGCAGGGCCTGGCGGGCTGGTGCGGCTGCGGAGAGCAGGGCCTGGCG